TATTTAACATCTAAACATTCATATTTACATACATATCACTCAAATTTTGATATAAAACTTTTGGTGTTAGATATGTAAATGCATAAGAATTTTTAATTATATCAATGAATCTTTCTTCCTTTCATCCCCTCTATTTTTTTTTCTTTCTTTCCACCTGCTCTTCCCTGCATTAATACTCCATGGAACAATTCCTCGCCCACCAACATTCCATTCTCTCCCTCCTCTGCTCCTCCGAAGGAATGTCAAACGCAACCGCCGCAGCGCTGCTTCTTCTCTTGGCTGCGGCCATCTCCGGCTACCTTCAAACTGCCGCCGCCGCCGGAGAAATCGATCAAGATGGTAACTTTCTTCGACCTTCTATCATAAATTGGTCTCCTTTACTTCGAATCCATTAGAGTTGCAGAGCTTTTGGTTCAGCTGCGGCTCTTCGAGCGCTTATGGATTCAGTGAAGAACATGCCGCCGGGTTGGGGGAAATCGGAAGATCCCTGTGGTTCTCAGCCGTGGGAGGGAGTTAGCTGTGCTGGTTCCCGAGTTACACAACTGTGAGTTCTTCTTTTAAATCTGAAATCATTAGTTAATAATAGTCTGTTAATTATTATTTATTTAGATTTAGATTTAGATTAGATTTACTTATGTTAATTTTTTCAGGAAATTGTACAATATGGGCTTGAGGGGAACTTTGAGTGGTGACATTGGAAGCCTAACAGAATTGAAGATTCTGTGAGTTTTTTATTTACTTCTCTAATACCCAGAGTTTGATATTTACATATGTGGCACTCAAATAGTTCACATCACATCAAGCATACCACCAATACTATTTTCTTATAAGTTAAATACACATTTCAACACATATGTTTATGACACCAAGGTGTTCAACCACAAGAATAAGCCTTTATCCCACTAATTGGGGTCGGCTGCCTGAATCATTCGACTTGGGGGTCATATTTTTATTTAATTATAATAAAGATCCTTTTAGGTCTGCCTCAACCTTTCATTTAATTCTAACCAAGGTATTAATAAATGTAAATATCAAACTTTGGGTTTCAAACATGTGAATGCATCAGAACCTAAATTTGAATTTAACTTCCCAACAATTTATTATTTAAATTTAGTGGCATTCTTTTAATTTAATACATCTAACACTTAAAATATATATTTTTTATTTATTTACATCTATACAATTCATATCTTTCATATCACATAATAAAGACCACAATTTTAACTTAAGAAAATAAAATAAATTGGATCACTGGAGGTGTTAGATATATAAATACAGAGGAATTGAGTGGGAAAATAAAATAAATTGGATCACTGGAGGTGTTAGAAATATAAATACAGAGGAATTGAGTGGTATGTATGTGTATGTTCCTTTAATTAAATGGCACTCATTCATTGACTCATTGGATCACTACACCCAAACCAACCGTAAGGTTTTGTGGGGTACAACTAGGGCGTAATTAGAATTTTTAGCATTTGATATTAAATTAGGCCTTAATTAACAACACTTCAGCCTATCAAAACTATCAGCATCATTGAAATATAATAGAAAAAAGAAAAAAAAAACTTAATTTGCTTTATCTTTCTTATACATGATCAACACAATGCTTATAGCACCTTAGAGAAACATTACAATTCATTTAATTACTTCCTGTTATGCACAAATCCATTTATGCATATAATTGCTTATAACCATGACTAACAGGTA